TGTGAAACTCACCCTTCTTCACAGTAGACTGTTGAACAAGACACGACAATTACTCTTAAACAGATTCGGCTAGGTAATTCCTGTTTTCTTGAAACAAAAAAGGGCATTCAGCTTCATCTAGACTATGCTCATTTGATCTAAACCTCTAGATGGTATGGCCAAAAGCATGATCAGGTGCTGTTACACAAAGACTTCCCAAATTGTTTAAGGCAATCAGTTTGGATTTGAACTCTTCTTAGACTTCTGGCCTCTCAGCCATGAGAAGCCTAAATTCCCTGTCCAACGTAAACCTTTTCCAATGATTTGTGAGAGAAAAACTGAAAAGTTCAAAACAACATTGCAAACAGTAGATACCGACATCTTTGCCAGATCTCAAAGTAGCACATAAAATGTTCTGTGAACTGCAATTTCCAAGTAAACAGTCCGAAAGTTGTATACCAAAGATAAACTCTGTAATTTCTTCATGTGTTTGCACTCTTAAGAGAATTAGATTTATCCATCACCTATAAAAGTCACCTAAACTCTTCCATTCTTTCCTTTCCCCCCTAAAAAGGCTCCATATGCAACTGAGGAGAAGAACCATCTAAGTCTCAATGAAGCCTTAAGTTCCCATCACATCGTTTTCTCTATGTGAAGCACTGTACTGTATACAAGCATACAGTTTGATTCAAAATTGAGTCATTCCTAAATGTTTACAGAAACATGCCGATTAACGCAAAAAACCCTTTCTTCTTTCTAAGATACTTTAACTCACAGATGTGACATATTTGGTTAGCCGTAAAACACAAAATAGAGCCACACGTGCTGGCAACATCACCATCTCCCCATAGAACCACGCTCAGACTAGAGTGGCACAAGAGAATTCTAAAAACCTTTTAACAAGATCTCCTCTATTCTGGTGCAGATACAACAGGAAAAGGAAGAAGAAAAAAAAAAATGTTTCCTCTCCACAAAACCAAAATATTCGGTTTTTATCTGGTTCTTCCAGACTATATCCAACAACCCTTTCCTAAAAGTTAATGCTTTCAAACTTGCTTTAAGTTGTATCTGTGTAAGGCACTTCCCAATATTTTTGCTGTTATCTTAATTATTCACTTTAGCTTCACTTTATTCATTTTGGCTTCACTTCTTCACTATAACATACTGTACACATCACTGAGCACATAGCTGATTGTTTTGGGGTTTTTTCAGGTGAAACAGTGAGTGATTGAGGCACTTTATATATTCTTTTGTTTGCGCATGGTAGAAAATCCTCACAAACAAAATCAAAGTTTCTTAAGTGTACGTGTGTATATACATATACACACACAGACACATACATATAAAAAACAACAGACATTACTGACAACCTCTCAATAGCAAGAAAACAAAACCTAACATTTTATTGCTGGTTTGCTATTTCTGAAAAAGGGAATATTTTTATACTGTCATTTACCAATTCTTCTACCAAAGATTTTATTTTGCATTAGCTTTTATCATATTTGACAAGATCGCAGACTGAATTACTATTTATGATGTCTTGAGTAATGTAAAAAAAAAATTAAAAAGTAATCACGTTAACTGTAGTCTGTAAACCAGCAGAGAGCAAGAGTGGTTATAACCACTGCAATCACATTTTCAGTAACTTCCATGAAAATCAAACAGTACATGCTGGGTTGTCAGACAGTAAACTACCAAACTCCCTCCTTGTTACTTGAGGAGTGAAAAGTAGGTCCGGTGCTCTATATTCAACTCAACAAAATATTACAGTGTATGTAATTTACTGTGCAACTGTGAAATATGTACATCCACTGAACAAAAACAGATCATTATATTTAAGGTAAAAATTTACTTCTGAGGAAGAAGGTTATGTAGCTGCTCTCTTCTCTCCAGAAATGGTGGCTTTTAGCTGCTAACTTGAGCCCATGGTCCCACACAGACATAATCAACAGACCACAGTAACAGAGAAACTACTCATTGATGTCCCAACGTTAACCAGTTACCAACCAACACAAAGAATACAATCCTGACTTTCCCCAGTCATCGGGAAGCAATCTTGCTGAAACAAAAATTTGTTTATTGAGCTATTTCTCCTGGCTAGTTCCTGCGATTAGCTATCACCCAAACTTAGTTTGATCATCAGTCAAATCCTGCATTTAATAATCCTCAGATATGACTCCCATACGCCACCATCTCTAGCAACAACAATACAGACGTTTTTCCAACAATCATTTTAAAATCGAATTTCCTAGAGAGAAGTTACCATTGAGAATACTTCTAGCCAATTTAGAAACTTGAATATTCATCTGCCAATTACAGGACTCTGGGATGAAGATGCAGACACTGAGCTTATAATCCTTAAGAAGAAACAGAAGTGGTCTTAAAAACTAAATGCTAACGAACTTTGCTTTGGTAATACTAGTTGAAGTTGCAAGTAAAAATACTGTTATGAAACAGAAGTGATTATTTTAAAAAAAGGACACAACAAAAAAACAGTAGCTTCCTGGAAATACAGTAATGCATTTAAAATTCAGTACTCTTCAAACCTACCAATAAAATATTGGGTTAAGAGCCTATTAATAAACTACTGGAAAAAGAGAACTGGTCAGCCGATTATTAGCCGGACTTCCTGAAAGACGTTCAACTTCTTCACAAAACATCATTGACAGAAAAAGAAAATAACGCTAAACAACAAAAGTTAGCTAAGCAAAATACAAAATGGCAATAACACTTCAACACTGTGAATGACAGCCAGTACATAAGTCATCTGCAAAACAGGTAAGCAACGATCATTGCAAATTATTTAGAACCACAGAGTAAAGTTAGTGGAGAGTAGAAGAAAGTTACAGTGAAAGTTTACAAACACCATGAAGGAAGCACATCCATGCGTTACTGATGTTCAGTATGCAGGTGTGGTGGTGGTGGGGGGGAGCCAACATTCAGATGGTTTGGTCTGCTTCAGCTGCCGAAGAGACCCTTTTCAGTCCAGTTTTTGCCCCCAGCAAAGAGCAGCTGGCTGGCTCCTCTCACATGCTGCCTATTGCTCATATGGGTGAACATTTTTCAGCCATGTAGTTCTATGTGGCGAAATCCTTCTGGAGTTACCGGGGGTGGGTGGGGAGAATATTCTAAAAATGAGGTCAAATCTGATTGCCACAACTTCTCTCTACCTGCAGTCTGATAGTACAATACTAAAACTCTTTTCCTTAAAACAATTAAGGAAACACTAATCAGGACTCAATTAGCCTTGCAGAGAAAAAGAAAACATTTTACTGATTTTAAAAAAAAAAAAAAAAACAAAAAACCAAAAAAACCCCCACCCCACATTTATGTGAATGAATAGATAATATAGTGATATGGTGAAAGATGGGGCTGAATTCCTTACTGCCTTTGAAAGAAACTCCACAATGTAGCAGGAGTCTGAAGTCAAAAAGCAATGCTGTGCAACAGGCCACAATCCTGAAGTGCAAAAAAATCTGACTATAATATGGCAACTCTGAAAACTGCCACAGCAGCTGACTCAAGAGGGACGTTACAGCCAAAGAATTTTTTGGGCCTCCTAGGAACATTCTTTGCTGTCATCAGACACCACAGTTGATGCTGCTAAAAGTTGGTACCTGTGCCTGAACATGTAGGGGCAAGAAGAAAGGGTGTGAAAATCCTTTTCCTGATTAGTCATGATCTATCTGCCTGATGCACAATCATCAGAATGGAAAGAAACAGCATGATGAGTACCACAGAAAATACAGTTAATTTGACAAAAGCAATCTCATCATACGTGACTGCCTTTTAACAGGTAGTTCTTTTAATACTTCTGTTAGTATTTTCCCGTATCAGCATGAAATGCCACACATATATATAGACAAAACGACATAGTTATGCAATTCGTAAATCGCATGCTATTTCTACAGAGAATTTTTATTATACTCAACAGAATTACCAGGAATTGAGACATAATTCTTATCCTCGTTATTGAAAAAAAATCAACATATCATACTCTTCAAACTTTGTTTTCTCACCTATTTTATGATGCTAACTTTTGAATGAAACTAAGAGTTTAAGAGTTTTAAATTTAAGTAGTGATCGACTTTTGAAAAGAGTAACTTCAGTTAAGATCAGAATATTAATTAGACCAGTTTCTGCCACTCATTTTTATTAATAAGGTAATTACAACAACCACACTTGTTACCATGAAATAAGTTTTTCTAAATCTCTCCATTGCATTCAGAATACTTGGAATTGTGCTGATACAATGTTGGTACAGATACTTTATGACACTTAATACATTAATATTATTGGCATAATTTAATTAAGACTTAAATCCCCTGCACTTTTGCTGCATATTGGTTTGGTGGTTATTGAAGCTTTTATATTACACTAACCACTGACATATTTAGTTATAACGATACAGATGTAAAGAAAAAAAATAAAATTATCTGAAAATATTCTTCTTCTAACACTCCTTTTTTGAGAAAAAATGTTTCCTAAAATACATAATAAAAAAAATTGTCTGAGGTTTTCTTAGAACACTTTAATCTTAAGTAAAGATTTGTCTATGTCCAAAAAATTTAAGTCCTAGCTACATGTTTGAGTAAATGTAATGTTAATTGATTTTGATAAGGTCAAGAATATTTACATCTACTGTAATTCTCTTCAAACATCATCCTGGACCAGGCCCTTCTTCTGCTTTATAAAAGCAGGAGAGTATTCTTCTCAGCTGATTGTGTCTGCCAAGTAAGAAATCGGCACACACATCAGTAGCTGTATATAAGATAGTCTTCATTTCCATAGGGATTCAGGTCTAAATTCAATGACTTTAAACTATATTTTTAAAAACAAAAATTTAGCAGTGAAGATTTTCCTCTTCTATTTTTGGTAGTGAAGTAGCATGAAAGATTTTCCTAAGAAGTCTAAAAAATGGTCTTGCTATATAAGCTGCTAACTTTATTTTTAGAGGCTCAGTAGTTAAAATTAATGGAAGCCTTTGTTTATTTGTCATTTATCTGCTTTTAAATACTTACAGTGAAAAATACGGAAATCAATGTATGGATGAGAACCTCTTCTCTCTGTTTCAAATCCTGCCCGACTTCTTACTCGCACATCTCCTAGAAACAGGGTCAAGAGTGAAATAAAAGTGTGGAAGAGTGGCAGAGATAAAAATGCAAATGAACATAGCCTGGAGGGGTAAAGATTCATGTACTTAATGGAGGAGGGTTATTCAAACAATAGGCCTACTTCAATGCTTTTTGTTTTAAAGGTGAAATTCAAAACAAAGTTTGAAGACTTGTTAAACATGCAATTGCATGCTTTCTTGTCAAAATCTCTCCTGCCTAAGCATACGTTGCCAGAAGCATGTGATAAGCATTCAGATGAAATTAGGAACAGCTTGCTACACCAGTATGGTAAAAATGCACCTTAATATGACAGGAAACAAGAACATTAAAAGTTGATTCGTTCCTCAGTTACACACATAAAACGATAACATTTTGTATAATACAAAAAAGATTCAGCTTCTAGAAATGGTAGCTTTTAGCAAATAAGCTAGTTACAATACGGTTTATATTATAGAATAGAGTATTTTCCCACTAGCATTTACTTACTTGTGCTCAGCTGTTTGAATATTACACAAGAGCCTATTAAAATACCAAAACTCAGTATTAAAATTTTATCAAACTATTTTGCACTGCAATTAGCTTTAACCTGAATCTTTTAGCATGCTAGTTGATTTCTACTTATGCATTTTACCAACTGAAAGCTGATCAGTATTCTTTCATTAGGTATTTGTATGTATTAATGTAAGTAGTTCACCTGGATTAAAAGCTTTCACTTAAAATCCTTTAGCAATTACAAATTTGGGCAAACCTTTGACGATCAAATGCAATGGTGTTTCCCTCCTCAAATATAACAAAAAAGTGAAATTTAAGATGTGAAAATGTTCTGGTTTCTAATCATGAAAATCCTTCAAGTGTTGTATTCTCCTCTCCTCAAACAGCGATTTTCGTATGAATCGAAACTAAGTATTCGACACAAGGAACTAAGACTGATTTTATAAGAACAAAAGAAAAATATAGCTATTTAATTTCCAGCAACTGATAACATCTTGAGAGTGTTTTTTCCCTTTTCTTCTCCAACCTGCTAATTTGTAATGCTGAAGCAGGCAACTTGTCAGAAAATAGCTAAAGATACTGACTAAAACTTCAGTAATATACTTTTAATACTTAACAGGTATCTTTCTAGAGATACATATCTATAAACACTGACATACCTAGTGACACACACTTCACATGAATGTTATGCTGGAAGGACCACAAAAAGATAAGCAGGCCCAGGACTCCACAAAAAATGAGTCTAAAGTTTACATATCAGTAAAGACATACTAAATACATGTGGTTCTCAGTTATTACTCTTTTTTTTTTTTTTTTTTTTTTTTAACTGAAAACCTTAACAGAGCTGCAAGGGAAAGTAACACAATTACTACTGGTAAATATTATTTTTCAGACCACTGACAATATATTAGTTAAAGGTTTCAAGCATTCATCTGAGCAGAGTGCAAGAGGCTTGACTTGTTCCAAGCAATACAGAGGCAGCAAATTGTAGAACTCTTCTGTTAGGCACAAGCAACTGGTGAATTTTATTTACCAAAAAAATAAAAAGGAAAAAGAGAGGAAATTTTGGAAAAGAAGAGGCGAATGCATTAGTAGCTGTGTATGAAAATATCAGTTTACACGGAAGAAAATGCAACTTTCATTACCTTTCATTCATATTTATCTGGGAAATCAGTCATAGATACAGCTGTGTGAATGACTTCACCAGCTGAATTAAAAGAAAAATAAGAGGTTTTTTAGTTGAGCTATTTTTTTACAGAAAAGGAGATACAACTTTTGTGAATTATATTTAGTTTTCAATGCAGTCTTAACTTTTAAAATTTACCAACCATAATCTGAATTAGCAAGTAGTTTCAGTCAGTGTGCAGCTAGATTTTGGTGAACAATTTACTTGTTCAAAGTGTCAAGAATAGGAAAAGTTCACAGAAAAATACCTGAAGACTAACATGGAATTCTGCAAACAACAAAACAAGCAGGTTCATCTCATAAATGATATCCAGAAAATTTCTCTCTGCTTTGTTCTTTTTTCTTTACTAGTACCTACTCTAACAGGATAGATAGAATAACAGTATCCCTGCTACCCTTGAAATGCCCGCACTGTTGTGGATTTTGAGTAGGAAAACAAGAAAAACCGTCTACAAGTGAAATGCAGATGTGCAACTAACTACATTGCTTGTAACAGGAATTATCAAAACGACTATTTACAGGAATAGTTAGCCAAAAGAAGAAATTATATACTAAAAATGCACATGGCAAACTATTAAAAAGGCAAATGTAATACGATAAAATGAGGGTATTTACTTGCATGCATGTGAAATGAGAAATTCCTAGCAAGGAAAGCAAAATATTTTCATTAGATAGTTGTTAAACAAAATTGTCTCTCCTTGATCATAGTAGAAGCAGAGAGTATTTTGTTAAGAATCAAGATCTCAACAACGGATGGATTTTTTTAGAATACATTTGGATTTATTCTAGAAAAAAGGTATCACTTGTACAGGACTGGAATTTATCACAGTAAACAAAGTAGAAATTCCTATTGGGTCACAACAAAGGCAGAAGAGCTGTCTCCATTATCATTCTACAGAACTACTGTATTTTTCAAGATTTCAGACAATAAATGTGCTTGAAAAAAAAATGGTACGAGTGGAATTTGAATATACCATGCATCCACCTGAAGTTTCTATGTATATAAAAGCACAAAAACGAGTAGCATCAAACTAGCTGCACATTAGCACATTATGAAATGATGTGCTACTAGCACAGTGAAACTAACCTCTACTGCACATGTGTATTTAGTAGCAAAACATCCAGAAATACTGGACCATCATTATGCATTCATTGTTCAGTTAATCTGACCTGCAAAGATCAATAGATCCCAAATGCACCCACTTCATTGGATTGCTGGCATTTTTAAGACAAAGGCCATACAGGCAGAAACTCAATAAATAGTGGAAGAAGGAACGTAAGAGGGAGGCTTGCAGCTACAACTGAAAAGGACTCAGGGCTGTAACAAAACTTACCTTGAGACAGATCATTTAGTTCCTACCCCTCTCTCAGATTCCTGCTCACACTGCAAGGACAGCTCTGATACTTACGAGGCAGCTGAAATGCCATAGCTGACATCCCTGTGTGTTAGGGTTACACAGCACATATTTCGTGCTACCCTAATACTCCAGTGTGGCACAGTAACAATGCAGCAGCTGCTTGGAGAGCTGAGGCCTTCTGGAGCAGGGGCAGAAATCTCAGAGATCACGGAGGACAGCTGGGAGCAGAAATTATGACAGCCACCTCAAGGTAAACCACCCAAGTCAAAGCCATGAAGTTGTGAAGAGCAGGATCTCCAGAAAGAATTACTAGCTTCACAGATTAAAGTTCCTATTAAATTTGTTGGAGAAACAGATGACAGGTCAGCCGAATATGCCAGAATTAAAGCAAAAGGAATAAAACATAGCAACTGCTACCGGAGAACAGCGTGCACCTGCATTACACAGTAGCTTGCCTCCACTGTTTCCTATTTGAAGTGATCAAGACCTCTAAAGGAGGGTAAAATGCTCCCACTTTAGCTGAGAGGTACATGCTCACCAATACAAGCAGTCAGTGCCCCACTCTTTCTACCCCATGCACAGTAGCAAAACTTTCAGGCAATATAAAACAAGAAAAAGAAACCAGTAAAGCAAAGAAGAGAAAAATCAAGAAAGTATCAAGATTACACAGAAACACTTACAATAAATTTTGAGAATCCCTCATAGCTGCTGAGAGAAGTAGCTGACTGAGATGATGCAGATATATTAGCCCTTCCAAGGTCTTAAAAGAAAAATTCTACAATGCTGCATCTGTATCTATATTTTAAAATAGTAAATAAGCCACTCGGGAGTGGCTTAGTGTATATTTTGGGAATGGGGTATGACAGATGAGTCATTAGAGTCAACGCTGTTTGTTTACATCGACACTGATGAAGACAGTTAAGACTTCGTTGTTTATTCTGTCTGCCCCTAAAATTTGATCTTTTAAATTGAACCTGGAAACACTGCCATACCACAGGAATTTCTCTTTACTTGGTGCAAATGAATCTCCATTGGATTCCCATCGGAACGGCCTGAAAATGTTAAGGGAAGCAACTCTACGGCCAGCACAACTAAACGGAGGCAGAGGGAAGTGTCCTAGATACCCTTAGCTTTGTATTTCTGGTCTGCTAAAATAAACACCTTTTCGAGGTACATTTTATTAGTACATATAGTCTGTTCGGAATAATAACCAACCAAGTAAAAGGCAAAACATCTCATGACTGTGCCTAACTTCCCATGAAGTTACAGCTGAGGATTCCTTACAGTTTACTCTACTGGAGTGTACTAAGATAAATAAATAAAAAAAACAAAACAAAACCAAAACCCTCACAATACAGTATGGGAAATGCAATAATTCACATTTCTTGAAAAAAACCTCTAATTGAATATATTCATTCTTGAATCTACTCTAATATAAATGTTTCTACATACTGATGCATCCAACTGTTCAGCTTTCAGGCTGGTCTTTTTTATAGTCCATTTACGAATACAACAGTAATAAATCTGTAAATAGTTGCTAACTTGTACAGTATAGTGTCCATAACATTCAGGAAAACAAAATGATCACCAACAAGTAAGAAAGTAATACAAATTTAATGTACTGGTTCAAACATCCAATGAGCAATTTGTTGTTTGCTTGTTGGTACGCTCCTCCCCCCAGCCGAAGTTAGAAGGAAGCAATTCTTTAAAAGACTGACTGCCTCTGAATAGCTAGCATCACTGAACAGCAACGAATGCCAGCAAGATTTATGCTATTCATAACAAGCACCCATCACATAGGCTAATAATTAATTCCAATGAGAGAATAAGTCAAAATTTCATTTACTTAACATCAAGGTCTGAATATATTCCAGTTCTGCCTATAGGAATAGTCAAAGAAAAATTTCAAGACAAAACGAGATTTTTCCCTCCGTTCAGGTGTGTATACTAAGAACCAGAGGAAGTCATGCTTTGCTTTCCCCTAGATTTACTTGAGCATTATCACAAACCCTTCGGCAGAAATGATGGGCCTACTACTTCATAGTACAGTTAAACTTCCAAAGTAGCAAAATAAATCAGATTATTTTCCCCAGAAATTAAAAATTATTTTGTATTGTCTAATTACAACAAAAACTAAATTTAGTTAAAAAAAAAAAAGTTTCACAAAATCAAGGAAACAAAACTACCTTAGGCCTGAATTTACTTTCTTATTCTTTGACTAGAGCAGAAAAATCACATTTTGAAAAATTCTAGTGTTCATCCTGCAAAAAGGATGATTAAAAATAAAAAAGTTATTTTAACTTTTGGAAATGAAATAAATGTATTTCCAACATCATCAACAAAAAACCAGCAGCTTTTTCATAAACATTTAGAAGCCAGCATCTTCTGTCGTCCTCCTCTTAACAAACTCCCAAAGTAATTACGTTCTCTTATCAAAAATCCTTCAGTAAACAATCAGTGGTATAGTATTAAAAACTTCACAAACTTAAAGCATCAAAAGAACTGAAAAACAAAAATGCGAAGATGCTAAATCAAAATTAGATTTATATATATACATACGTATGCATATGCTTACGTACATAGGTTATGACTATAAATTCATATATATACGCACATGCGTACACATGCATATAGCTTACAGCTTTAAATTCATAGACAACGCAGTTATGAATTTCTGGTGACTTTAACATGTACAATATACAACTACATTGAAAAGACTCAGGGCATGAAAAGACATGTTCTGGCTGATTTCGTTGGAGCCAGTTAAGAATTTATAATCACTAGCTGTTGATATTCACTGAGCCGTGCGAGACATCGTGCAAGCATTCATAGTCCATTTCAACACAAAAATCATAGCTCAAGATGGTTTAAATTAAGTGGGATAATTTTGCAGTGAAACAGAGTATCTACACAGTCCCCATGCCATCTGCACCACCAGCAGCCTCCAGGAGAGGTGCGGGAAGTACTGAATCCGGCAGCCAGATCTGCAAGAGGTTTGCATCTTTCTCCTCTCAATGACTGACCTCATCTCCTTCTGTGCACTCACTATCACAGAAGGTCTTCCCCGGATGCTTGCCCCTCCCAATACTGTTCTTCCATTTTAATTCAGCTTTACCCTTTATCTAGTTGCTACTCTGGAAACATTCTTCAGTAAGTTGACTAAACTACGGGCCCTGTCATGCGTCCTTTCCCCTCTCAAGTCATCTTCTAGGATTAATAAGAGAAGTATTGTTTAAAATCATAATTATTTTAAGAACACCTTGAGCATTTCATAGCCTCAGTACTGAAGTTTTTAAAAGTGTGTGGTAACTCTCACACAAATGTCCTCTAAGCTACAGCTTTAACCAGAAAGATACCATGCAAAGGTGATAAATTCCATCACAGAAATAAAGATCAATCATGAGTCACTTGGAAAACTTAGCTACTACCAAACACATTAGGTTAATTATAAAAGCATTTTATTTTTTTAATATAGGGAGTAAAACATCTGACACATTGGTTAACTCAGAAAAAAAAAAAAAAAAAAAAAGGAAAAAAAAAAACAAACAAAGGAAACACAAAAAAACCCAAACTTTTAAA